ATATGAAAGTCAGCCGAATTAGTTTGATACTGCAAGGAGACGTATTGTGTGAAAATATATGTAAGATGTTGTTTAATTGCTGATATATTTATGATCCACGTCACATTTTCAGTTTTGGCAGCAGTTCTTCCTGTTTGTCTAGAATTCTAATAAATCATTATTATATTAATATTGACAATAACAACCGACTGTCGGGGTAGCATTTGCTTGGCATTTCCGGTTATTTCTCCACTGGTTAACATGGGTTAACAATACTGTGTAACTGTCACGTTTGAAGGGACGAAATAGTGACATCTTCACGTCTCCCAGCATGGTAAATCGTCACATGTTCACGTCTTGCCGTGATACCGGGTTGCCTAAATTAGATAGCTAGCTAGCTACGACTGATCAAATCTGAAGACATTTGCAGATTCAAACTGGCCATATTTTAAATGTGTCTCGTTTTATAAAAATGTGTCTGTGCAACTCTTTAAATGTTTCATGAAAAAGGGTAAGATGACCAATACTGTTGCCTTTACTGTATAGGCTAGTGCTACTTCTACTCAGAAGCTAGTATTGTAGGGCCTTGGCTACTTCTTACTCCACTGCAATTATTTTATGACTTTAGTGACTAGTTTCTTTTACGATTCAGATTATGAATCAACAATACATTATAATATATTAGTTTTTAAAGGACTTTTATTATTAAGACTTTATTGTTCCCTTGCTGAAATTCGTAAAGCCCAACATTTAAGAGCTGCAAGATTAAGTTGTGCCTGTTAATGTATCAATAAATATAATTAAATTCTAAAGAGTAAAAGTCAGCCATTTAGCATAGAGAGCTCTTTCGGTCCTTTTTTTTGCTTTGTATAATTGAATGCATTTTCTGAGTATTTTTACCACCACTGACTGTGTTTGTATTGTTTCTGTGTTCGGTTTGGATCCTGCATTCTAACAAATACATCGGATTAAATATTTTGTTTCTACATTGATTTGCGCTTTTGAAATTGATTCATATAGCGAGAAACATTTGCTCTGTGTTGACATTTAATTAAGTAATTATATAAATATCAGCAAGTCTGAAAGAACTATTGATACAGAAATAAAATAAAAGAGCCTACCCAAAGCTGACCAATGAGTTTTGAAAGAATGAATGACCATTTTGGAAAGACAAGCATGCCACACATTTGCCTCTGGTAAGGTTGAGAAAAACATTAAATAAAACTTTAGATCAAATCAAAGGCATTCTTTACCGATGTGTTAGCTGGGTCTGTGTGTTCTTACAGTATGGCTGCATACATGTATGATTCAAGCTTTTTTAAATTCACAGCAATGTAGAAGTTGTTTGTGATCATTTATTTATAGCAAACTAATCAAAGTGCGCTTTTCAGGCAGTGAGCAGTCTCGACACACCAGCATCCCAATACCCCATGTAGAGCCGGAGGGCATGGAGGAACATGCTGTTTGACATGAGTTGAGACTAGGATATTTATTAGGTATTTTACAAAGTTTGGAAGAAAATAAAGTCCGGCCTATTTGAAACAATTTGTTTTTCTATACCATCCAGGATGCCTGAAGTTCACAATGCTGACTGACAGGATAAGAGTGGGGAGGAGTGTAGGGTGAGAGGAAAACTGCCACAGGTCAAATGGAAATAACCGTCAGCTGTTGTAAATAAACCAAAAAAAAAGTAAATTCACAATTTCAACAACTGTTAATGTGCATACATGTAGCATTAGTACTTTTCTAGAAAGGTTGCTTAATTTTTTTTTCTGTTTTAACAGTTCAAGAGCTAGGTAAATGACTACTAAATAAATAAAGAAAATACACTATAAAATCCCCAAAATACTACTAAAATGTGAAGATAAGATACTATACACTTTAGACAAGTGTGCAAGTTTATTTTTAATAAAGCAATTTTTAAGCTAAACATCCATAGATTTGATCAATATGAGTGAGGAAAAAATACAGCTTAAGGCTTAATTTATTTGTTTCTTAATTTAGAGAACAGAGCCTTTTGTTGTTTTGTCCAGAAGTTCAAAATTATCTTTGTTCCAGAACTTCCAGTTAAGATCAACTAACCAGTCATGTATGAAAGAAATTGCACTTTTGATATAAGCTATGATATGCTATGATGATAAATAAATATGCCCAACTGTGTCTATATGCAGGTCCATTTCCAGGGTATAGTTCAGTTAGCACCTACGGGATTTGACCACATGTGTTTAAAGATTGATGTTGTCCTTTTTGTGCACCACAATCATGCTATGTATTAGTTTTCTTTGAAAGATAACCAATTACTGTCGGCAGTGACAGTTTGACGCTAAGGGAATCATTATTCCTTTGACGAAGCAAAGGAACAGATAGAAAGCATCAGATCACAACATCAAACAATTCTTTACCTCGGCCATTAAGATTGGTAACAATAATTCATACCTGTACTGCATTACTTTTCCCTTTCATCAATCACACATTACATTACACTTGTTAGACGCTTTTATCCAAAGCGACTTACATACATTCAGTACTGTGGGCAATCCCCACAGGAGCAATTTGGGGTGAAGTGTCTTGCCCAGGGACACAACGACATGCTGACTGCAGAGGTAAGAAGACAGAACAGAGAGAAATGCTGGTTGGCAATAATTACTTCTTACTGATGTTTGGTCCTTTAAATGAAGGAGAGGGGGAAAAAGGACTTCAGGACTGGCCCTGCAAGGCCCTACTCGTCATGGCCGTCAATTTGTTAGAAGAAGCGGTGGGGATAATTTTACCTGATTTAACATCAGTAGAGCAGAAGGCAAAATATATCCCTCCCCTGGGTAATGAACCTCCAGCACCTGCATGAAAAAACAATACCTCTGGACCACCAATGAGTTTTTCAAACAATGAAGCCCAACTAAAGGTTTTGCTGTGTTGCGATTTGGAGGGAATTTGTAGCTTTATGCACACAACGAGCACACAGGTAAGGAGGACAGAACATGACATGAGTAGAAAATAAACAAATAAAGGAATACAAAATACAATAATAAATAAATGTGAAAAAAAATCTGAAATAAGTCATGTGGAAATAAATACAGGAATAAATAAATACACCAAAAATGATGTTGGTATTAAAGGTTTTGCTACCACCTAAAACTCAGTAGAAGGAGTGTAAGGGAAGGGGTTTTTAGGTTTGACATCTTTGAAGCTCTCACTATAGCACTGAGATCCAAGCAGCACAATAAACACTAGGATAAATCAACATGATACAATAACTGCATGGCTGGGATTGAACTCACCACCTTTTGAATCAAAGACAACAGCTCTTCCTCTCAGCCGAAATTTGGGCTGTTGTTCAGAAATGATAAAGTCATAGCTGGAATGTCCCAGTCGAGAAAACCGTTTTGTTGTAAGAATGGAGTTTTTTTTAAACATGCAAAAACAACTGAAGTCTGGCAAAGTTAGAAAGATACCGATTTCAATGTTGTTTTGTAAATGGGGACAAAGATTTCAGTTTTTTTCTTTGGGTGTCTCCAGCGCAAATGACGCCTATGGTACTCGTTGAATAATATCTGCTCTGTGATGGAACAGAAGACAAAACTGAAAGGGTTTATGGCTGAGTGACTTCTGTGGCCTCAGAGATTAATCCTGCCATAGATTGCCTAGAATGACAAGATGAGGATAGCATTGGGTTCACTATCCTTGAAGGGACAAGCACTGGCAGAGCCGGTGTTGAAATCAGGATTTCTTTGTTCTGTCAGCCCCATAGCAAAGACAGTTTCTTGAATTATGTTAAAAATGTTATTCTAATTTATTTTACTTTCCCTCAACAAAGCCATCTTTGGTTACGAACAGGGTTTATATCCCATGAGTTTTAGCAATATACTTGATGTTTATTTATTTTTTACGTTTGTATTTTGTCATAAAAGTAGTAGTACACATTAACGGTTTTAGCTCATTCATTTACAGTTCAATAAGGAAAAGCTATAGGAGGCCAGTTGTGGATTATTATGGAAAGGACTCCCCCTGGTGGATCGTCAACAGTCATGTATATGAACTGCAAACACCCTTTTAAAACGATATACAGTTTATGGTAAAATCTTGAGTTCCACAGATTAAGCAAAAAGAGCACTTTATGGCATTTTATAAGAATACAAAAAAAGATTTTAGCATTATTTTGTGGCTAAAATGATCAAAAGATTAATGATATGATATTGTTTTTGTTGTGAGCTGCAGACATTTTTTTTTAAAACACACCGCACATTATTTATACATAAATGAAGTCTTTCCAAAAATAAAAGTTTAATGACAAGAAGAGGAATCAATATCAACACCATTACAATATTTATTTGGATAACAATGATGTTCCAAGTTGATAAACTAGATAAAATAACACACTTTAAACGATGCTGTGTACTAATCTATAATTTGTATCAATTTTGAATCTGTGTAGCACAAAATGGTATTATGACACCTCCTTGATCATGTTTTTTAATTCAGAGCTTCTCACAAAGCTTTTTGTTTGTCATAAAGGTAAATTGGTCAAAAAATGCTTTGATAATGCTGACACACAGTGCTTTTAAATTCCTTTAATCAGTACAAATTTACAAAGTCATTTAGGGCCTCCACCGTGTCCTTGATAGAGCCCTTGCTTGAGTAAATTGGGGCAGATTTAATGAGTTTATATTTGTGTAATAATTAGTCCTATTTTAAGTCGTTATGTTAATGTTTAACAGGGATCTAAAAAAAACATATCTGTCTTTTTGTATAATGCTGTAGTCGTGAGTCTCGTGACTGATACACCAAGTCAATGGGGACATCTAGCGTCCATTACATGTGCTGCTCATAGGACGTAGAGTAATAGGACTTCTATTATTCTTTATTCTATGTCAAGATTGGTGCATTGTATCCTAACATAAAGTTGTAATACTGTTTATTGTAAAATACAAAGAATAAATAAACATTTAAATTAACGCTGTCACTGAGAAATCGTTTTTTTACTGAGGAGAAATGATAACCGGACACAGCCCACTATGCTCCGGTCACATGCTTCTCAAGCTGGATCACCTGACATCATCCAGCTTCTCCTTTTGATGCTGTGTCTCCTCCATCGACTCATAGTGATTCTTCAAACAGTATTATTTCGTTCGCTTAACTTTTCTGGCTTCAAATTGTATATTTGAGCCGAGGATATCTCTCTGATCCTGCAGGTTGAAGCACCGGGTAGATGCTGCTAGAGTGCATGATGAACGGACACGCTATTCTGTATACGGGGGTCACTGTGGCCTTCTGGAGCACCATACTAATCGTCGGTAAGATTATATGTTTTCCTTCAAGAAATTGTCAGAATATTGGACTCAATGAATTAAATATTCTGTTTCCTAATCAAATGCAACAATATCAGCCATATCAGCATGTCTTTATTCACGGCAAAGCCCGTTTTGATCGTGTTTGACAGCTATAAAATGGGACCTGTCTAAACCATGGGACAAGAGTGTTTGCGGCTGTTTCCATTTTGTTTGCTAGCTTCTCTTGAGAGCGAAAATTGTTAATGTTGGGGAACAATAATATTCATACATGCTGGTAATAATACCCCGAAGACGGTAAAAAAGACCTTGTTGCTGAGTGTTTTGACATATATTATAGCTATTATTTAACACAAGACACCGGATCGTGCATCCTAGTTAGCCGTTAGCATGTATTTAAAGCTAATGACAGGTAGCTCATAGCTAGCGTTAAGGTATGCAGCAGAAATGTCACACGTTTACACATTGGAAAACATTGTTTACTATGTATGTTGACTAGATGAAGACTTTTGCTAGTGGGAGTTTTAATGAAATCCCGGGTTGTTGTTCTTTTAATGGTTTATGTTGGTACATTTGGCTAAGCTAACGTTAGCTGGCTAGCTGTTCCTCTAACAGCTGACTGAACAGGAACTGCAGCAATGTTCACGTGAGAGTGAGCTATCACACTAAAGCAACAACTTCTATCCATTTCTTTAGCACATACATGTGACATTTACACGTTGTTCAGGAATACAACGTCTATTAAAGCAGTAACATACTGTAAATGTCTCTCCTTAAGGGCTGAACTCTACACTTAAAGCCAAACATACTTATAAATATGCATCTGAATGACCCTTTTAACACTTTCTCATCTAATTTAATACATTTATTTTTTCCATAGGTACCTGCTATACCATATTTGACCTTGGATTCCGCTTTGATGTGGCATGGTAAGCAATATTGGATTCAAGCATTATAATCACTAGACATTTCTGAACAAGGATCAAATACACTTAGTCATTTTTTTTAGTTGCATGAGCCTATCCTGAAAAGTAGAAACGGAAAGTGTTATGGTAACATAACTTCCTGGACTTTTGCTTAAGTGCAATAATACTATGATAGTTCCTCATAACAAATACCAGTTTATGGCTGTTTAACATAGCACATTACTGTTGCAATTCATTGTATCTTGTCTTTGTGAGGTTGGCACTTTCCTTCACGTGACGTAAAATGTAGTTGTTTTAATTATATGCAAGTATAAAATTCAGATCAGAATGAATTGTCCTCAAACCAAGCATTAGTATTTTTCTGCTTTACAATTTAGCTTATAAAGTATTGTCTTCATCATCTGTACGTCTCTACTTCAGGTTCCTCACAGAGACTTCTCCTTTCATGTGGGCCAATCTGGGCATTGGCTTGGCCATCTCTCTGTCTGTGGTGGGAGCAGCCTGGTGAGTAGCTAACACAACAAACTCTAAAGTTTAAATAGTTATTTCTTAAGTTAGCCAGAGGTGGTGGTGTTTTAAGGCCTAGAATGCTCTGGCCTATTATAACATAGTTTCCTCTTTCTTGAAACACTCAAGTATCATCATGTGGAAATGTGGAACTGGAAAATCTTAGATTTTGCAACATAGGAACACTTTTGAGAATCTTTCGGATGGAGATTGGAGCTTTTTTAGTCTCTCAGGTTGGTGTTGAGCTTGATAATTAGCTATAATATCAGGTATAACAAAACACATGTGATGTTCCTTTTTACATTGACTTCAAGGGTGGTGTGATAAATAAAAAAGACTTTAAAGAACTACCACTGAAGCTTGACTGGTCCATAGCCTCACACCACCTTACATCTTCTATTAAAAGTGGCTCTTGAACGCACAACTGAGGGCTGAGGTGCATGTACACTTAAATGTAAGATTCCTTTCCTCGAATAAACATCGCAGAGTAACAAAATAGCCATTGTTTTACAAATTAACGATTATAATATATATATTGTTTTACTCCAATGTGATAGTGACATTGTTGGCTTTGCTTTGCATTGCTGCTTTCAAAACCTTATTCCTCTGCTTGTGGATGGAAATAAATCATGGGAGAAAAGTGTGGAGAAGCTGCCACTAAATGGGGGAAATCATTGATTCACCAGCATGAGCAGCCATTCAGAGAGCTCTCCAAAGGACTTCCTCTTATGCAGAACTGGCTGTACAGCTGCAGATAAGGGCACATTCAAGCCAATGTTGTGGGACCAGTAGAGCTAACATTTTCCTCAGTCTGACTTTTATACATTATTTTTTCGGATCTGCCAATTGTTGTCATTTTCACACTGGTCATGTTGTATGTGTGATTATTATCTGATTATCGTGTTTGTTTTCAAGGGGGATCTACATCACCGGCTCAAGCATCATTGGTGGTGGTGTCAAGGCTCCACGAATTAAAACCAAGAATTTGGTCAGGTAGGTTCATTCAAGAACAAAAAACACTCCTTCCAGCCTTCTTTGCTTTTTGATACCTAATGGATAAGCAGCGTAAAATGACCCATTGCATTCTGAATCAAGAGCTTAAATATACAGTCTGATGTTTTTATATCTGTAACTTCTCAAATTAGAAGTGCAGCTTTGAGCAAGTGTAGGGGAGCTACATAATTGCACTGTGCTAATATCACTTTAAGTAACACCAACATCAGGAAAACTTTTATTGGCCATCGCAAAACTATGACGAGCATCGATAAGTGACTTTCAGGCTAGCGGCTAGCCAGTAAATTATGTCATTTTATGGTTACTTGCGAGAACCATTTGCAATCTAAAAAAATGAATTATTTCTCACTCTTTGTTTATTTTTGTATTTCTCCCTCTAGCATCATCTTCTGTGAAGCTGTAGCAATCTATGGGATCATCATGGCAATTGTAATCAGCAACATGGCGGAGGTAAGCATTACATGTTTTTCTTGTTCCTGATGAAGAACAATGTGAATGTATCTATTTTGCCTCTAGAGGGTATTTGAGACAGGAGCCTGTACATGAAATATTTATACATATGGGACATTAAGAAGTTTAAAATCATTTCAACAACAGTGAGAGGATGTTTTCTCTATGGCTCTAAAAAAGAATCTCTTTCATCTTTTAGAGCTTCAGCGGAACAACTCCTGAGACCATTGGGGCAAGGAACTACCAGGCTGGTAAGAAAACAGAACTAAAGCTACTGAAAGCAACACATAAATGAAAAATCCTCTCAAAACATGTTGGGTTTTGGGCGAATCTTTAAAATTCCTATAGACCCCAAATGCATTTTCACTCATAAAATATTAGGCTTAAAAATACGATAGTACTACTTTTTTAATAAAAATTGCCCTTCCAGACATTTGAAGACATCAGAACAAGTTTCTTTTAAATTAAATTAAATCTATTTCTCCAAACCTGAAAGGGATGTCATTGAGAGAAGTATATATGTTAATTATGAACAACTTTTTTTTTTTTAATGAAGAATAAGAAACTATGCTATGAAATATTGTGGGATTTATTTATAGTTGTGTGTTTGTTGTATACACTTACATTTATATTAATGCTGTCAAAATTATCGCGTTAACGGCGGTATTTAATTTTTTGAATTAATTTCGTTAAAATATTTAACGCATTTAACGCATGTGCAGAATGGCCCGCCCCATACATCCCACCAGTGGCAGCGCTGGGGTAGGCTACAGCGATACCAAGAAATGGCTTAGCCCCACCTTGAAAAATGATGTTAAAGTAAGCAAAATAAAGTCCGCCAACTCGCGCCGAGTAAATTGCACAGACAGCAGTTAGTAAGATTGATTTCAGTAGCCACTGGAAATACCGAAGACTAGAAACGGTTTTGAAAACTTTTGTCACGTAGTGATCGTCTTCTCAATAGAACATCTTTGATAATGTCTTCTGGCCAATCAGAATCAA